TTTTTAACAAATTCACATTGTTGGGCGTTCCATGGCCGAAAATGGGCGTCCCCCTTTAAGTTACGTGCTAAAAGTAGTTCTGCAATTTTTTTCATTTTTAAGAACATCTACCACTGCAGGTTGATCTGGCCTGGAATGAGGGATAGAGTTTTCTGATGAGTCAATCAAATTAGGCGTAGGATTTTCTATTTTCCTACGCTGCGCTCAAGTCAAAAATGACTACGTTTTCTTGAATCGATTTTAAATCAGAAGACGTCATCGGTAATCGACTCAATGTATCTGCAGCTGCATTGCCTCGACCCGGGACACACTATTTCAAAATCATATTCTTCGAGATAAAGCCTAAATTTGGTAAGTCGACTTGAGGAGTCCTTTAAACTGAACAGATAAATAAACGGTTTGTGGTCGATTGCAATTATGAACTTTCTTGCTTTTAAATATGGTCGACAATGTCTTACACCCAAAACTATACCTAAAAGCTGTAATTTAATATTAGAATATCTAGCTTCTGGAGGTTTTAAGTTACGGCTTGCACTACTAGCGATAACCTTGCCATTTTTATTTGATAATATGGCACCAATTATCGTTTTATTAGCATCCGTCCGTAATATAAAGGTGTAAGGTCTAGTTTTGAAAAATAAATACTACCGGAAAGATAATTTAAAATAACGGAAATTTGTCGTCTTGAATGCAATTGTTTAATCGGCGATAATGGATGCCTAATCTTCACTTTTTCTCATTATTTTTATCAGCTTTTTTTGGAACGAGCAAGACAGGAATTGATCACTCAGATGAGGTCTCCTCAATGATGTCGTTTGCGAGAATTTCTTCATTCATTTATTTGCTTCTGAAATTCCATTCTTTCAGTGGTATTCTGTACGTCAAACCTTACAAGGTTTGACGTACACTGGCGCAACATTATCTTTTAAAGTTATACTGTGAGACATTAAATTGGTTACGCTTAACTTATCGCTAGGTAAATGGAATACATCCACATATTTAGCGCATATATTTGCTACACTTTTTTATTCCTTCAGATTTAAGTCAAGCTACGTGAAGTAACTTAAATAAAGACTTGTCACGATCGAGTGAAATATTTTAACTCGAAAAACTACGTACGGAAAAATTAGACAAAGCAAAAATGTGTAAATCGGAAAAGTCCTTGGCTTGGTTTCGAAATTAAACCAGCGATAAAAAACCTTTTTGCATTTTACGTGACAAAACAACACAATCGTCATTTATCGAAATCGGTATAAACCTAACTAGAATAGGAAATTCAAGGATTCGCCATACTGCCTCTGATGAACTCATATATGTTCCACTTGTGTAGGTTTTAACTTCATCTTTCTCATTCTCTAAAGCAAACGATGCCTGGCCTAAATCTTTATTTACGTATTTATAGACGTATTTTATTGATAATAGTGCTTTAAAAATGTTTCTTCCAAAATCCCATTGGACTCAAGTTTACCGCTAACTCCTATAATCGTTATTCTATCGAAGTGCAACAAATTTTTAAAATCCTGATTTTTTTCTAACCATTCGTATTTAAAGACACAAAGACAACTAAAAGGTCAATGTTTCTATCATTTACGCTTAAACTTACCGTGATTCTCTTGTTATAATTCAGAACAAAAAAAACTTATCGGCCCGTGAGTTCACAGGTCGATACTAACGACGATATGTGTCGCATGGCGGACGTAATGGGATCGTTTCTGAGGAACACCTCTACTGCTACTTCCCGCGCCACGCGCGCTGCACACGTGACCGCGCTAAATGTATGTGAAAACGATTGACTAACGGCCATAACATGGTTGTCCGTTGCCGTCGATTCTTCGTCAATGGTTGTTCGGATCGCTTCAGAATGAGAGCCAAATTGTCTTGCCGCAATAATTGTGCTAAGCCGCGAATTAGATAAACCGTCATACAAACGCTTAATAGCAGTTTTCTAATTGAGAGCTAGAGAGTACCATCTTTTTCTGCCTATAAAAAGTAAAGTTACAGCCTATATACGTCCTACTGCTGGGCACAGGCCTCTCCTCATTTCTGAGAGGGATTTAGGACAAGAAAGTGTCCGCCGCGCTGCCCCAATGCGTGTTGGCGAACTTCACATGTCTCCGAAATATTTTTTACTACTTACGACTCTACTACGTAAGATCCTAGATAAAGAATCAAAATGTATATGCGTTGTCTCCCATAATATATGTGTTGTGGACTAAGATGAAATGAAGAAAAATAAGAAGACTACCTATTTTTCTAGTAAAATGGGTTTTCGGTTTTCTTTACTCACCATGTGAAACGCTGTTGTATTTTACGCTGGTAAGGTACCTAATTTGGAGGGGTTCTAAAATTGGCACCATATTCTGAGTTATTTAGAATACCTGCGTTAAAGAGCGATTCACAAGTTTCTTTTTCATGAGGTTTTCCATAATTGTGTTCAGTTCTTCACAGTACACAACTTCAGTAATGCTCATCCCGTTTCGACGCGTACTTTCCGCTGGCAATCATTATGTTCGTGGGGTACCAATTTGGCAATTTTTTTGCCTTGCCAATTTCACGAAAAATATTGTTTTGATGCTAGCGTCGAAAGCTGATGCTAATTCAGCTTTAGATTCAGAGTATCATCAGATTGCACAATCGTCTCAACGTTTTCGGACGACCACGGGATTCATTGCTCAGGTCTGTGGTGTTCAGGTGGTAATGCGTTTGTTTGTAGTATTCGCTCCGTAAACATCGGATATGTTGCGTACCGCGTGTGCCGCCTTTCTTCCACGACGGTATTTATATTCCAAATTATTGATGTCTATTAACTTAATGCTATTATTATAATTGTTACAATTAAATGTCAAATTTAAATTATTGTTACATGATAAATTATTCATTAATAAATTTTAATTTTATCTTATTTTATTTTCCTGTGGCCCAACCTGTATGTAAAGGCAATGAAAATAAGATAATTTTATGTACGCTTTTACTATTGAGGTAATCAATATATGTAAATAATCGATTTTTGTTTAAATTACCTCTTCTCCCAACAAGAATTATTAATGTGTTATTAGAACCAAACTTACTACTTGAAACTTTATGAAATATATGACTAAAGGATGCTCTAGGTATGCAATCACAATACATAATAATGTACTGTGATGATATAGGCAAAAAATTGGGCATGATGTTAAATAATCATTTAAAAGGGAAAAGGTGATTTATAATCCCCCACAGATGTGCAGTTTTCTTAATATCGATAGTTTTAAGTATTTTACATTATATTTTGTTATTACTTTATGACATAAACTTAAAAAGTAATTTAAATATTAAAAAATAACAACAAAATATTATGTAAATTATTTAGAACTATCGATATAAAGAAAACCGCACATCCGTGGGGAGTTTCCGTTAAAGTTATTGCGTCTATAATAGATACTATTTATTAGATACTAGTAGTTAAAATAATAACTAATTGAGGTGCGATTACCTCAAATAGTTATTGTTTTAATTACTAGTATAGAATCAGGTGTTTTTCCTGATTTAATGAAACATACATAGTAAAGTAATAAATTTATTTAAATCCAGTAGTACATTAGACTCCGCCAAGTTTAAACCTGTTTCTGTTTTACCAACACTCAAAAAAAATCCTTTTCGCTTGAGTTCGAAGAGCTCAAAAATCAACTAATTGAAATATTTTTAGACGTTTGTGTAGAACTTTTTTCTAGGTGAACCGAGTTTGATGTAAATGTCCCATCAAAATTTGATCAAAATCTGACTAGTATTTTTGAGTTATCCTTAATAATGCGTATTTAAGTTGACTTCGATTACGTTGATGATATTCGCATTTTATTTATATGAAGTCGGTGGTACAATTTTTTTTAATTTTACCACTTGTTTTTGATATTATTTTCCCTAATTTTTAGTGGATGCTAATATTCTACCAAATCTCAAATTATACACATTTATTGTATCACACACATTTATTATTTCGCAAGACCAAAGCAGTTAAAAATTCGGTTAAGTGAATTCGGAATAGATTTCTTATCGTAAATGCAACAAAGAATGACAAAGTGCTGGTCGAATTCAATAAAACGCGTAATATTATGTGATATAAAAGTATTTATTTTATTTCACTTACAAAGTTGTATATAAATTAGCATTTCTACAACATTATTAGGTACCATTAAAATATTATTCTGTATTATTATTCTTCTTCACAATTATAAAGGTCTACTGTTATACATTGTGCTTATTCCGTCGTAGTACAAATTCACAGTAATTAAAAAAAAAGTTATCATCATCATTACAGCTCATCCCAAGTCCACCCAAGGAATGCCACAAGGCACGGTACGAAGCCACCTACATACATCGACTTCCTGAATGTTTACATAGTAAATATCAATTCATAGATAAAAATTATAATAACATAAGCGGTTTGCTCCGGATTCACCTGGGTGTAATCTATAACAATATACAATATCACAAAACAAAATCCAAGTTTTTCGAATAAAATAAAGCTATCAAGATCACAACGATCAACGATCACTCCTGGCATTGCTCTCTGTCTGTTTAATTCAAGTTTCAACACAATCAGCCACTCGGTTTAGCCATTTCGAAGTAGCCCCGAAAGACAGACATACAGACCAAACTTTACAAATGGTTACTCATGCCTTAATGCCTTGCAAATAACGCCCTTAGTTTAATTAAAGGCAGTTACAGAAAGACAGATACTTCAATTTTTTACATGTATAGATTTTAGAATGGTAACTCACGTAACCAGTACATGTTCTAAGTCTATCCATCAAACGAACCTCTCTTTACCTCAAAATCGCAGTGGGTACGTCACTGCTTGCCGGCAGAAAGAAGCAAGAAGGCGATATCAATTCATGCGGACTCCTTAGACAGGTATCATCTGTCGAATTTCTTAATTACAATAATTCAGATTAGTTTAGTAGGTAAAGTAATCGAAGAATACAACAGTATATGTATAAGTTAACATTAAATTAAAAGTTGTTTTACAAGATCCCCATTTTAATATAGTCGCTGATGATGCCGTTAAGCCTTTCTGCAAACAAATCGCTTGTTTTTATCCCGAAGAAATTAGTTTCTAAGTCGCTGTCAATCTTTGGGGCGTTTTCGACGTCGACCGTTACGAAAGGGAGACTGACGATGGATACAAGTAGGCCAAATGGCAGCACCTGTAAAATGAAAACTATTGCTTATAATGATAAACTGTAGAAGCGATTCACGAGTAGTCAACGGAGGCTAGCCATATGCACAGTGTAAAATTATAGTTACGTTTGTGATGTGTGTGCGCAACTAATGATGCTAGTTCTATTCCGTGATTCTAATAGTTGGTTGGGATGGGATACACGGAAACAGTTTCATATAATATAAATAATAAACCTCTATTTACTGTATTTTAAAATATCTTAAAACAAGCTACGTGAGGGTAATATGGTTACCTTAAGCTATGCCGCCCTATAAAACCAAAACTAAGAGGAGGACGGGGCCAAAAAATAAGCCATTTACTATAACTAATATATTAAAAAACAATAGCAAACAAGTTTTGGCTATAATTAGGAACACTTTGAAAAATCAACTTAAAAAGAACTAACTACGCTACACAATACTAAAATCGACTAAAATATACATATACTACAGTTTCAGCTGTCAAAATGTCGTTAAAGCAGCGCCCTTTTGACTCTTTATTATTTGATTGACTGATGAAGAGCTATCGTATCACAGAACCATCTATGCAAACATGGCTATAGGTTTTGAGTTATAAGAAAGTGACCATATTAACCGAATGGCCATATTACTTTCCTGTACTATATATCCTTTTCACACAAAGTCTCGAATTACTTGATTTTAGGTTCTGTTTGATGTACAATAATTGCAATGATATCTTAACATACAGAGTATTATAATTTATCTACTGATAAAGAGACTAAATCTATAGTTTACCAATCCTTTCATAAAAATCGAAATATTTTTAGATGAAGACTAACCTCTTTTAGGTCATTCTCAAAGTTTTGCTTTGGATAGATCAGGTCTGGATCTAAATTAAATCTTCGTATGGCATTACAAAATTCACTGTAATAGTGCTGAATGAGCTCTTGATAGTGTTCTTGGCGAAACTTCTCATCCGTACCATTAATGATATAATACAGAAGATCTAAGATTGGGTTGGACACTTGTAATGTCTGAAAATCTACAACCGCTATCTCCAATGCACCATCCTGTAACATTAATAAGAAAAGGTTTACCTTTAGTCACTGGAGGTAGGGCTTTTTTTTCTACATTCTAATCCCGGTATATTGCATCACTTCAAACTTAAGTAAAACTAACTATGCAGAGATCTAAAAAAAATTAGAGCTTAAAATTTTGTATCCGATATCACCAAACATACTACGAATAACGATTTAGATCATTGATGTTTTTTGGCACAAAATTATATAGTAGTCACTAGTGTATTTACTAGTCATGTCATGTATAGGTAAAAGGTGTTTATCATCATTTTATCACTATATTACTGAATTATCTACAACATCCTGGATTAATACAAAGTTTTGGGTACTCATGACTAGTAGGGGGCATGTTAATAAATCAACAGGGCAAGTACTCTCCGCGGTGGAACAAATCTTAAGAGGATTGTGAAGCTGTAAATTTTCATACAAAAAGCGATAAAGTTTTCCCTCCCGTAAACATAGTCCAATTTTCTTTATTTGTATTTGGATACGTTGTAGATATAATGAAAAACTAGCTCCTTACGTTTTTATTTTAAGGAAATATTACGTTATTAAGTTATTAATCTCCAAATATCTGTATTTTTGATTTAAAAACTTACTCGAGCGCTTTTATTTTTTTTCATTAAACTAAACTGAATTACTAAAAAAGAAACGTACAGACCTAAATTAAGGTATATTGAGTTTAATGAGATCAAAATTATGTCATTTCGTAAAGGTTTAGGGGGTAAAAATGCTATCGCTCTAAACAATATTATAAAAAGAAAATGTAGGCAATTACTTTCAACATACTCGAGACACAGTCAAATTTTAAATTTACGTGATTTATGGAAAGATATTAAAATAAAAATTCAACTCGCCAACAAAACAGTTCACAGTAAATTAGTTTACAATAATAATTGACATCAATTAATGTAAGTATAATCGCTCTTAGTAAAATATCACGTGCCGGCATATAATCCATGCGTAAAAAGTGAACATTTACATTTACAAGGGTTTTAACATGTCATTTGCAACTCTCTCTATCGCACTACAGCGATACGGAGCGAGCGATGTGAAACAGATAGCATTTTTGAAAATACCTACTTGTGCCGCGTATCGGCACTTCGCAATCCTCTTAATGGCTGTGGCTGTAGATTGAAAAGCCCTGTATCCAGTAATGCGTTTCAAATAAGCTGATAAAGAAGCAGACACGTTACTAAATGGTGGGACTTCTTTCCTCCCAAGAAGTCTGTGTGGGAAGTTACCACTCTCTTGCTTATTTCTGTTGCAAAATCCCAGTGATTGCACTGCTGTGTTCTGGTCTGAAGGATACACTTATATTAACGTACTGTGAGGCATTCCATCTTAGTGTTCAGAGGCGGCAATACAACTATAGCCCTCTTTGTTTGAAGTTGGCTTGAAGTAGAGCAATGTTTGCGATATTACAACAAAGTCACATAAAATATAAAAGAATAAACTTTTTTAAAGTGATAAAAGTATTATTTACTCAGCTTTAGTACGAAATAACTTGGAATACTGCAGCGTTGTTTAAAATCCTCACTTTGATATTTACTCAAAATATAATCGAAAGGATACAAACAAAAGAGATTTCTTTCGCATCTATCTTACGATCACAACCTAGTTAAAACTCTTAGAAGTTACGAGTACTAAGCTTAATTACTGAAAGCTTCAGACGCGGTACACAGTAGGAAATTTTGCATGATTTAAAAACAAATTCAAATATTTTATTGCACAAGTTTAAGTATTATCTATTTAATAAAATATTAATTATTTAAATTGTTTTATAAATCTACATCAATTCTCATTACTTCATGAGTTAATTGGTAGAGAATGCTTCATGGAATGTAGTCCGCCCTTTATAATCTTTTGTAGTATGGAACGCAATAAGGAACAAATAAATGAATAAATTACGCCCGATTTTATTATATATCCACGATATTATACATTGAAAATATACATACGAATTAAGAATCCTCCTCCTTTTTGAATTCGGTTAAAAATCTGCGGTTGCCAATTTTCATGCCAAGCGTGGCAAATACGCAAATAATATTAGAAGGCCTATGTTTAGCTTACTATTGATAGGCTGTGATGATAATGATAATAATCGCAACTTTAATATATAGTTATAAGTGCTCCTCGAGCGTAACGTGTTTCCCTTGCGGAAGGTACAGTATCTTTTGCTGGGGTAAAAGAGTTGATTGTCAATTTTTGATCACTGCAGATCAAAAGCTATCGTACCTTGTGTCAAATAGAATATCAACATAGCTTTTTCTATAATTAAATTAAACGTAATTCGTCGTTTATTTCTCGAATGTTTTACAGCTAAATCTGACAAACGAATCGTCTTAAGACCGGAATTTTATCATCATAATCGTAAGGGGGCGTCCATAAATTACGTGAGACGTTCAAGGAGGGGGAGGGGGACAAGTCAATTCTCATCTAATCTTACGTTGGAGAGAGGGGGGCTCTCGGCAAATATCACGCAATTTTTTTCGGATTGATACAAAAAAAAATACTATTTTGGTCCATTTAATTCAGATTATACATGCATAAGATTTAATCTTCAGCGTATATCGTAATACGATTTACCACTACTGAAATGTCAGATTATTAAACCAATTAGTCAAACCTATGGTCAAGCCAAAGAGTATAGTAGGTTTGGCCAAAGACTATTTTTTTAATGAAGGTAAATATAACTTAGAGTTATTACCTACCATATTCTTATCCAAAATTAAAAATTATCAACAATTAAAATATCGAATTATTTGTATGAAGGTCACGTGAGCGCTAGAGAAACGACGCTTGTAAGACGTTGTTGATAAATAAAATGTTTAATGAAATAGTGCAGTAAAAATAGAATTTAACTTTGCACTAAACTGTCGATCCAATTTTATTTTTTATAAGGTTTAGGATCACTTGTAAAGTTACAGCCTATATACGTCCCACTACTGGGCACAGGCCTCCGCTCATTTCTGAGAGGGTTTTAGGGCAAGGGTTTTAGGATCACTTACTCAGCATAAAATCATAAAATGCTGACAGATCCAGGTGGCGCTTCAAGCGCCATCTTGAAAAAATGTTTTCAGCCGATATCTCGAAACCTATGCACTTTAAAACAACAGTTATAGAAACCATTATTGTAGAAAATAAAATTTCGCATCTTTTGTTTCCAGTAAACTTTTTTTGTAAAACTTACCGTTTAAGATTTATTGCCCGTTTTATGATCCGTTTTTTTTTATTGCGGCCAATAACTCTTGAAATATTATATTAATCAATAAAATGCATAAATCTATTTTTAAAGATCAGTTTATTTTCTAAAACTTTTGTTTGAAACTTTTTTTTCTAATGTCCATACTTTTTGAGTTATAGGACGTTTAACGTTCTTTCTTTTTACAATAACAATCCAACGCGTTTACGTAAGAAACCCACATTTTGAAAAATCTCACGTGAGATTCGGGGATGGGGGGGGGGGTTGAATAAAATCTCACGACATCTCACTAGGGGGGAGGGAGGGACAGAAAATTTAAAAAAACACTTCACGTAATTTATAACATTGCAATTTCAAGCGTTCAAGTGTTCAATATGTTCAGCTGTATAGGAAATTTTCGTGGAGAAATCTACATGTATTTTACGACGTAGAGCCACACTGTATGGTTTTAGCAGAAAGTCGTCAGCTCAACCGGGGTGGGACCACGCTCTCACGGAATACCAGCGTAAAATAACAGCTTAATGTTGATGTGTTCCATATCGTAAGTGTGAAACCTGGAGACATTTTATGGTCGTAAAAAAGTGTAAATAATGCACTGGAAGATATATCACACGATAACACAATAACGTATTGGAATAATATAAAGGTCAATGTTCACTTGGAAAAAGGTTTAAGTAAAATCCATTTTAAAATATTGTCAATTACTTATTTTCATGAAATTAAGATTAAATAATCAAAAACCAATCTTAAACTATGCATAGACTATGCATATCTTGCAAACACCAAAATAACACGACACAGTAGAATTAAAGCCTTTAACAAAATATGTTACAAAAATGTACTAATCAAAGTACATAAAAGAAATATAACGAATTTAACAAATATGTGTTTACAGTTTACAATTAGTACAGATACCGTAATTTTTACTATTTATCACTGAATTTTGTTTTACTGTTTTTTTGTAATTATAAGGGCTATCCCATTTGAGACCATTCGCGTTCACACACAATGCACAAATGCGTTTTTTTTAATATAATCAATAGGTGAATTATAGTATAGTATTAATTTAATATGTAATGATTTAAAAAAACTTTTTGTGTTTATCTAATAAACTCAGCATACAAATATAATAAAGCCACATTAAAAAAATGTGTTTTTAACAATAACTTATTTATATTTTGCCATTTAATAAAATTTAAAAAAATGCTTCTTATCATTTAAACATTTTTTTATATTATAGTCCTGTGCGAGTGGAAAAGTTGACGAAAGGCGACGACCTCTTATTTAAAAACGGACCTAGTTCGGCTACTGAGGGACCATTAGTAATAATAAATCAGAATAGTATAACACTCCACTCTTATGTAGGTACGTCAGAATAACTTTACACCTTTTTCATTTCACCGTAGTCGGTTAAGTTATGTGTTAACAGCCTCCTTTATAACATTCTAATGTGTAACATAACAAACACCATAATACACGTAACGAACTGGAACAAACACACTCGAAAATTCAAAACTCAACAATGAATACCGGTCATAAATCATGCGCGATTTACTTAATAAAACTTGACATACACTGGTAATTGACTATAAATTTCGAATCAAGAACCTAGTAAACGATATCTTTGTAGTTCTCACGTAGAATTCACATATACGCTGCCCGAAATTTTTGCTCTAAATTATGGAATTTACAATCGTTTACGGTCACGACTACAAATGAAAAAAATATGTCAAAACTGACATTTTACAGTAAGCCTACGGCATTGCCTCATCGAAATTAGGTAAATAATGTTATTTAATGTTGAAAACAAAAAATCTACCCCGTATCGAATCGGAGTAACACACTGGATAACTTTTGGAGACTCAAATTATAATTGGTTTTTTTTACACTAGCATTGTCTTATGGCAATAATTTATACATTATCAAACGGCATCTTTATTGCTTTCATAGTAAACTAAAATTTTAAAACCATAATGCTATATTATTTTTATTTGTTGCATTTTTTCGTCCCGTAAGTTGATAGGACGCAAACAAATTTTGTATGCAGCTTTATTTTGTTGATTCAAAAATATTTTTTTATTTTTTATGTTTAAGCCTTTTGAATATTATGGTTATTTCTACATTATTCTAAACATGATTATCAATGCTTTATTAATTAATAATATTATCATAATTTTTGTTAGCGTATGGTATTCACAATCAAACATGGGCCCACTCAAAACTTTTACTAGAAACGAGACATTCCATCTTAGTCCTCAGGTTTAACAACGCTTCTGATTTTTGATTCTTAATCGAGGATAAATGACTGATAGATAATGCCGAAGGGTATTAAGTCCGTCCTTCGTAAACCCTAGTTGAAAATGTGTTACAATAAAAAAAATGTAGCTGTCTTTGGACCACAGCATCTACTTGTCATCAGGTGGACTGTGTGCTCGTTGTATTCTAATTCTACAAATATTTAATAACACTCTTAAAAATAAGAGAAGAACTTTGCCCATTAGAGGGACGTATATAACGGAAGTAATATAATTAGCCTAATTGTATATAACGGAAGTAATACAATTAGTCTAATTGTATATAACGGAAGTAATATAATTAGCCTAAGTGTAAATGTATGGGACATTGGAATCATACTAGAATTAGAAATATTTTTATTCAACACAGGTTATAAATAATACTTATTGAAAGTCACTACTTATGTTTAATTTACTGGTTTGGAAAGTACTTCTGTCCTGAGATGAACCAGCTAAAACCCAATGGAACGTCTCTTTCTTTTTGAAAATAAGATGAACAGTTTACAATGATATATGTTACATAATTTACAACACAAAATAAATTAGAAATAGCTTGGCAGCTATCACCTCGATTCCAGGAGTTATTTTACCTTCCATAAATTCCTTAGTAGAGTATAAACAAAAAAGCAAAAGGGTTCCATTAATAAACATAACGTACCTCAAGTATTCTATGCATCAAGTTACTCGGTCTGAAGTCACCATGCGCTATCACCGCAAGGTGATTTGGCTTGAAGAACTTCTCGAAATTTTCAGTTTTCAAATTTTCTTCTAAGAAAGTGGTAAACTTTTCTCGATATTCTTCTTTGACAACGGCGATAGCGTTTTGAACCATTTTATCGAACATAAATTTTGGAAACGTAAACTTAATTGTTTTGAAGATATCATCTTTCTTTTCAGGATTATCTTGTCCGAAGGCAACAGATAAAACGTGCAAATAAGCCATCTGTTTTATGCATTCGGCAGCATATTCCCAAGTGACACTTTCGAATCTATTATAAGACTTGAAATTTTTTTTGCTTAAATTCTCCAAAACAACAGTCTCTCTTAAATATCCGTTATCAAAGCCGTAACAATTCGCGGTTAAAAATCTGTTCCTTTCTGGTATTTTATATTTCTCCTCTAACAATCTATATTCATATAATAAACTGGTGTAGAAAAACTGCTCTGTATCAAATACTGGAACGTTTAAAGCGGCCCTCACATCTTCAGCTATTGTGACAACTTTTCCAAACAGTTCAAGGTCAGGTTTGTTTGGTGCAGATATTGTTACTTCATACAAATGAGATGAGTAGTTAGCACCATCAGTATTAATTAGTTTAATTTTTATATCGCAATTCTCATATTTCTCTTTAGCAGCAATAGTACTGAGGACGTCGCGCAAAATCGACGCAGTGTCCGTCATCGTAGAATCTTAGGTTACAACTGGATAATTGTCGTGAACGAAGCTACAATCAGTTATGGATGTGATATTCTATATTTAGATAGCGATGTAGAAGTACTAATTAGTTAATAACGCCTTGAATGTTGCATGTTTAGTTATAAATATCATATCGGTACTTAAGCGTATTTAAGTTAAGGAACCTTAGCTACGTAATTTTATACGTTCTACGTTTATAATAAAACTGAAATATATCACATTCTCAATATATATAATATATACTTCCCGCTAAGAAAATTGAAAATTTTCAAAAATCAGGAAGTTATTGTTTCTATCCCGTTTTCCGAAAATTGAGTTTTCATTAAATCTTGACGTTTTGAAGTCACAGGAAGCCACCCTGACAATTTTTCGATGGTGTCTGTATGCCTGTATGTATGTATGTATCTATTAAAGTTGTTCAAAACGACTATAAATCAATAGCACGCTACAGACTATAAAGTATAAATTTCTAGCGCGCTATTAAATACGCTATGTTATAGCGCGCCATTTATAATTATGAAAGCGTGTAGGAGTCCGGCAAGCGCGTTAAGTTTTGCAGCACGCTATATCTCGTAGCACGTTACAATACATGTCGTTCATTGGATGGACCGCGTGCTATATAAGAACATTATTTCGTAATAAGTCGCATTTTAGACTAAAATAAAGCGGTAAAGAAAAACTAATGAACGCTTTTTCATGCTTTTCTGGCTTACGACTTTCTATAATCCTAAAAATATTTTTAAGGCATGTACTTTTTAAAACGAAATAAAATTAATTATTTTTCATTATAATTGATGTATACGTTGTTTTAACTTTATTATAAAGTACCCGGATGACCTACTTTTTGATCTTATATACATAATAGAAAAAATTTAACTGGTTATTTGAATAAAAAATCACGAGTCCAATTAGTTTAATAAAAATTTTCGTATTTTTAAAAAATACTAAAAAAAGGGCTCAAAATAATAGATTTTCTCACAAAAGGTAACTTACTAAAAAATAATCGGACCGAAGACAGGACGCGAACCAAGACTTTACGATTTCGCGACCGCTCGATATCCACTTGAGCTATTACCATCATTAACAGTGTCAAAATTTACCTTCTTATATTGTGACAATTTTTCATTGCCTGAAAAGAAGGACAAAAAAACATTTTCTAAAAATAAATCCTAGCTAGATCGATTTATTGCCCCCGAAACTCCCTGGACACAAAATTTTATGAAAATCGTTGGACCCGTTTCCGCTATTCCGATTATATATATAATTAACGCACTTTGAGAAAGTAGTTTGTTCAGAATCGTTTACTGAATCTATATATATATATATATATATATATTTTACAGTATACACTAACTAAACAACGTCTAACACTAAATTAGGTCGCGCGATGAATAGCGTACTTCTAGATCAAATTTGCGTCACACGTCCTCTTCCAACAGCGCTGTTGCTAGAAATAGTTGCCGCTAGAACTAGATATTAATTATTAATACTTAATAGCCTCAAAGCGCCTACTTTACCGATAGATTCCAACTTTTAAACGGCTTTACCGATAGATTCCAAAAAATAATAAGCTTTTAACCTTAAAAAAGCCACGTCGATCGCTGCCGATCCGGTCAAAATTGGTTGATTCGTTCGTGAGATATCGTAAACGTAAAATTTTGAAAAAAAAAATGATGTTTTTAAATTATTCATAATTGAAATTTGGAGCGCTTTGTATTAGAAATTAGCGGGAAGTTCCAGGGATCGCCTGCAGGGTCAACCAATTTTTTCTAAAGCGAAGTACAAACAAACTTACTGTCCACCTGATGGTATTTAGTTACGGAAGCCCATAGATTCCTGCAACCAACTTAAAAAAAGGTTATAGATGAGGACTATGATGGACTGGCTTACAGCCTGTTAATATACTCGGACAGACTCCTAGGCGGAAAAGGAGCCCTAAGCCTTGTAGTAAATATTATTCCCTATTTAATTACTTTAGTGTTTGGTCATAGATTACCATAATACACAATAGAATGGCTGTCAACCTTATTTTGTGAGAGGATCGGCGTCGCCGAGGGCACACATACACGCAATTAAGTCGTATTATCAGTTATCACTACTACAAACACATTTTGGACTTTTGATTAATGTTTTTGACACATAAATATTTCTTTATTTTAGTTTTTTAAATTATTTTATAATTAATTTTTTAAATGATTGATTGTGTTGCCATTTATAGGTGTGAATTGTCATGTAAGTGACATATCAGTGGCTACACGAGCTCCGCCCACTCCCCCGTTCTATTATGTTTGTATTATAGTATTCTATAGTTTCGGCAATTAATAAAAGTAAATGTTTTATTCAAAATATTATAGTCATGAGCGTTCTAAGTGAGCACATTTGTATTTTCCAAAGTTTTCATTTTAAATTCTTTGAAGTCGGCTTTTACTTCTTTCCTCTTTCCTAATAAAGTTACACAAAGAAATTCTCATTTATCGTAGTAGATATTTTACAAACTTACATCAAATATGAACACCTCAGATCCAGGACAATTATCCGTAGGCTATAGATATGCTTGTTTCGTGTGGAATTTGAGCTTTTTTTGTAGGATAGGGTGACAAACGAGCACACAGTCCACCTAATGGTAAGTGGTTGCTGACTGTGGCCCATGGACACCTACATGTATCCTCGATTACGAATAATGTAGATGCGTTGTCACCCGTGAGGACTAAGATGGAATGCCTCATTTCCAGTAAAAAGGGTTCCCTACACTCACCATCTGAAACACTACTATTTTACGCTGGTATTCTATGAGAGCGTGGTCCTACCCCGGCCAAGCGGACCCAATCGTGCTACAACTATACTAATAATATAACTGCAGCATGGATCTAACTCGTCTATAGCTAACGACATAAATAGCATGAGTCAAATACTTAGCTACTACACTACCAAGCTGTTGTAAGTATTTTGTTTGCACGTGCCGTATGTATTTTACTATTTACTGTTAATATGAAGAACATGGTACTTTTGGATGAACGAACTTTTATCATAATCAGATTTTGAGTAGATAATAATGTTACGAGGTTGAGGTTCGTGACAATAAAAATTGCCAACAGAATTACCAAAATTAACTCTTTAATTCACTTTACACTAATTAAACTTAGAACACTAATAATTAATCACACTGATTCACTTTATTTCGCTTCGAAGCTTCGCTTGTCTCGTCAAATTCAATACTTCCTCGATCGCATCTTGCAGCGCCTTTAAATACACATTATCACCGAAACATCCTGAATATTCAAGTAAATACGCGCACCAATCGACATGGCGCCGAAAGTTCGAGTATCGGGCTTCTAGAAGCTTAGTTCTTCGTTTCGATACTAGATGGCGCTGTCGGTTGAAAGATTAGTGATGTCATTTTCTGGAAAGATCCCCACGCTCTCGTCCCCGACACTAGATGGCGCTAGTGCCGGGTACATGACGTCAACTTAGGCGCGCAACAATAATGTGTCTGCATTCAAAGACATCAAACATGTAATGTTTCGAAATTTGCCTTATAAAACAGCTCAAACAGCATGTTTTGCTATGAAATATGCTGTTTGCTTTCAGACTTACTAAAAACTTATGTTGAATAAAACTATTATTTACAGATTTTTATGCGTTTAATTCAACTTTAATTTATTTTTATTATCCCGACATTTCGGGTGCTTTACAGCACCCGTGGTCACGGGAGGGGGGGACTGAGATGTTTGACCATTTAGATATCGGTTGGTATGGGATCGGTTGGATAGTGAATCTCACCATCATCCTTCACAGTTAGCTACCGTGGGTAAATCTTTCAGAGAGCACGAGGGATCTGTGACAGAAAACATCTGGCCGCCGAGCTTCAGCATGTCAAGCAAGTATTGCAAGACAACAAGCTTCGGGTCCCGCGCCTACGTCACAGTGAACGAATGAAGCCGGCCACAGTCGAGCGCGCGCCTGCTGTACTACCGTATGTTAGAGGAGTCACAGACAAGATTGGCTATATCTTGAAGCGAGCGTCCATTAAAACACACTACAAACCGCCGAAGAAGATTAGTCAATTTTTACCATCCATCAAATGCAATATTCCTCTACAAGATGCAGGTGTGTACAAGCTAGATTGTGAATGTGGTCTCACTTACATAGGTCAAACAAAAAGATATATTAAAACCCGCGTGAAGGAACATATAGCTGACGTGAAGCACCGACGCTCCGGGAAGTCTGCAGTCTGCGAACATGTTCAAGATCGTCCCCACCATTACATTAGATTTGATAAACCACAAATCCCCGCAAAAGAACACCGATTCCTACCAAGGATGATACCCGAGGCTTTTGAGATTAAAAAACATCCAAATTTTAATAGAGAAGATGGATGGGTGCTGCCAGCTGCTTGGGATCCCATAATTTACAAAATTAAACCCAAACCCAAGCATACCACTGCAAGACTTCATGATACTATAAGCTCATTTTGCGTAAATCGGACCAAAAATTTATTTTCAAAAACTGAAGGTAGCCGGACTAACTATGACATTGGGACGTCAAACATCTCAGTTCAGTCAGGACGTCAAACTTATGTATTTAATAATCTACTAGCTGTTCTCCGCTACTTCGTTTGCGTGAAATTTATTACGATTGAATTTCATTGATTTGATTTTTTTTCGAAAGATCATAATCCTTTTTATAAAATAAAAATAAGACTAAGTTACTTCTTATAACATCAGCTATCTGCCAGTGAAAGTCCTGACGAAATTGGTCACACAACACACAACAGCCATTTCGGAAATTAGCCGGACCAAACAGAAAAACACACACAAAAATTTTAAAAATTGTTTTTTGTTTTAAAAAATATTTAATTTAACTGAGTCCCGCGGTTTCACCCGCGTATATCACGTCTCTGAGCCACGTGACATGACATGACACCTCGCTCATTTAGTTCAATCATTTTAGCTAAAAAAATTTGGCAAAATTAATGTAGTACTTTT